CTAAATGATAATGTCTCATGCAGAGTGCTTTAAAGGCCTTGCTGAAATAGAAATAGGTTTGATCCACTGCATTTCGTTGCCTAAAGAATAAGTTATCTTATCACAAAAGATATCAGGTAACTCTGTTAGTAACCATTTTGGGGAAAGTGTATTGCATTTTAACTCAAAACATTTGGCCATCAGTTATCCTGTCCTGGTATCTATTTCTGCTTCCTTCCTCTGGCCCTCTCCCCTCCTATGGTTCAGACTGACATTAAAATATCCCCAAACTAGTGGACACAAGTACCAAACCTTGAGTAACAGATGCTGCTTATACTGAAACACTTCCCACTGTACCTACTAGAGCAAGGTCATTCATTTTTCTCAGCTAAAGGACAAGTGCTATAATTTGATTAGATACCAAGGAAACCAGCACCAAAATGGGCATTCTGGCATTTCTAACTGATTATAGCTATCTATCTAAAACTCTGCCTTGACAGTTTTCTGACAGACTTTTAAAAACAGGGATTTTTTTGTTTGTTTTTTTGCTCCTCAACTACCAGACAATCCAAATAAAACACAAACAGTGTGTGCCAGCTGCAGCATGCCTACATCATGTGAGTATAGATGTGACCATAGATGCAGGAAAATTAATCCCAGCAGTGGACATGGATTTGTTTCCCAAGTAGAAAGGAATTCACAGCTATGAATGAATGAATGGAAGTAAATAATAATAAAAATAATCCTTCTGGCCAAAATAAATCATTTTATGAAATGAACAGATGGAATTGTAAGGAGGAAACAAAACTTCTTTTAAGTCTTAAACCCAAAATTGCTTCTGTTGTCTTTGATCTGATTTAAGTTGTACTAAAGGTCAACGAACATTGGAACAAATATTGCTAAATACTGTACTCAGTGGATAAAAAGAAGCATTAAAGTTTGGCCTTATTGTACATAACACATCACACAATGATCTCACCAAAGTTACCAGCTGGGGACTTGCAAACCACATTTACCAAATAAGGCAAAATGCTTCGTGCCTGAAATCCTTTCCCAGTTACCTCACCCGGCTTTTGCTCGCGTTTCTACAATAATTGCAGAGGTCTTTTTTTTTTAAACTCAGATGGAGTAAATCAACAGACTATCCAATGCAAAGCTGGGTTTGTGTAGTCTCTGGAGAGAACTCGGCTTTATATAAACTGAGTGTGTACAGAAAAGGAAGAACTGAAATATGTGCAATAAAAACAGAAGGGTGAATAGTATAAATTGAGAAGAGCGAGTGATGTAGATTTGTCTATTGCTGTTTTGATTACAAACACTAATGTTTTATGGGGAATGTTTCTCAGATTTGTTGGGTACCTCCAAGTTTTTGAAGTGCATGTGAAGAATTGGTCTTTAATGTTATTCTTGTGACGTTCCAAAAACACTTGAACTTCGCACTTGGGGTTTATGCTGTCCTTATATTTGAAATATAGCTTTGTAACATCAACAGGATGTATTTTATCCTCCATATTCTCTTTGATTTCTGTGATTATATTTTTTGTCAAAGCTTGATATAGTTTTGAAGAAAGAATAAAATATCCTCATTCTCTATATTAAACACAACAGGATAGTCCTACATAGTTCATCATGAAAGTCAACATCTTCCAAAGTTATTTATTATTGAAATAAAATGGTGATTGTCATAGTAGAAAACTATCATTAATTTATAACATTTTCTCTTTTTTTTTTTTTTTTTCTGTGCAAGTATGGTTGGGCAGTGGGAGGGGATTCTTTGTTTTTATCTCCAGCTGAATTTGATTGGCTGTTTTAGAAAAAGAAAAAAGTCCAGCAAGCACGTGTAAGCATGCACTCTCATAATCTTCCCCTCACCAAAATCTGACAGCAATACCTAGTATAATTTCCTATTAACACAACTATCTAATAATTCTTTTACCTCAAAAAAATTTTGAAACACAGCTTAATGGAGTACTGAAATTAATAAATACAAAGTCCAATCAGAAGAGAGACTCCAACACTCGCCACTGCTTATAAAATACGCTCTCACAATGTAAGGCTGATCAAAAGACCAGCTGCCTGCACCTCTAGCTACTGCTGAAATTGCCAGTGCAAAAGGCATATACAATTAAACTTGTGCTTCTATATCTAATCTCTTAAAATGTCAGTTTATGTTGACATAAATTAACTGTAAATTCACAGCTCTAGAAATACGTAATATGACATAACTGTCAGCTCTCCTGTGGAGTCTGCACCATCTCAACGTCTCTTCAGAAAGGAACACATACCCACTAATGTTTTGTGTTGTTTTTGAGGGGGGAGAGGGATGACAGAGAACCAGGAGTGAGTTTGGATTTGATATGAATATGAATCTATATGCTCTTTTAAGTTAATACTAGGGGAAAAAACAGCTCAAACCTGGTATTTCAGAGCAAAAAGTAATGGTTGATACATGGTCCATACAGCTGATGTATTTAGAGAAGACCTTAAATAAGAAGTGATGTTCTCAGTGTCCTGTGAAACTTGCTGATGAAATCCAAGCAACAAGAAAGCATCTATGTTTTTTGTTTGGTTATCAGTTCAGATCACCCCAGAAGAGTTCAAAGATCCAAACCTCTGTGCAAATCTTCATTAACTGCAGATAACTAACTAGCAAGTTCAACTCATCCCATATTTACAAGAGTTCATAAACGCTCAAGGGTTGTGCCCAGTGAACAGAAGTGGAGGTAAGTGATCTGACCACATGCTTTACTTTACCTTACTAACAATGAGTTTCAGAAAACCCAAATTTCATACTGGTCTCATTATTCCTAGATCACACATTGCTATTTTGTAATTACTAGGAAAACAGTATTAAATATAATTAAGCTCTCACTTCTTTGTGTTAATTCAATTTAGTTAAAGGCCAACTGTAATTGCTTCCACTGATAAAAATAAATTTAGAGGCGAATGTTTGTGTCGCAATCTGGGTTATGCAGGTGGTCTGAATCTCTTCTTTCTGAGTTTGACTTTTTAACTCCATGAGCAGTGTAAAAAAAAAAAAAAAAAAAAAAAAGAAAGTGCAGGTGGTCTGAATCTTATTTTTGAGCTTGACAGCTGAACTCCATGAGCAGTGCAAGTGCAAGAAAAGACAAGTTTATTTGATGTTTTATAAAACAGTGAGCTAGAAGAACTCTCTATCTGATATCAATGTGTCCAGTATCCTGGACTGCCCAAAACACACATAGCGCTGCATAATAAAATGCATTAGACACTGGAGTAAGGGTTAGCTGAGTCAGGCTCTCTCCTGAACTCACTCAGTACACTGTTGTGTCACCACAGACAAGTCTAAACAATCATTGTTTCCACAAATTATAGAAGATGGGCAAATGCCCATATTTTGTCGTGAAGAGATATGGAAAAGAAACCAGTCATTGTGATATGCCAAACAGAAAGGATTCAACCTGTCCTGTAGTGCTCTGCCTTTAAATACCTGATGATTCAAAAAACAAAGGAGTCATCTGCAATTAGATCATTAAATATGTGTTGACATTTACTGAGTGATGTATTTAAAGGGGATATGTGCGTCTTATAAAATTCTGCAGAGAGCCCTGTAAACTATTGCCCATGGATCATCTCTCAGATGTACCAGGTCAGCCAATAGTACAGCAGGTTAGGCTTTCAAAAAGGGTTCTCTGCAGAGAAGAATGATATCCCTTAAACTATATGAATACAAAATTAAATGGTAACACTAAGAACTGAACAACGCAACTAAAACTGAAAGATAATTTTGTGTTTGAATTAAATTCTGAATTCTGCAGCACAGTAAATAAACTCTCAGACCTGCATCTCACAGCAGCCTGGGGTGGGACAAATGAAGAATGCAGTTGTACACAAAAACATATCAAGTAAGAGGGTAAAGAACATCCATTTCAGAGAAACCTGACCTCAAGTTCACAGCAAAAATTCTTCTCAAACATTTACTCAGTTCCTGTGCGGAAGCAGTCTCATCTGTTTGCTACACATGTGCAACAACAGTACAAAAAGTATAAACCTTCAGTCTCTCTTTCCAATAGCTCTGCTCTTCTTCTGAGGTTGTTTGATGTAGCTGAGGTTGTGCTTGTGCTGTACTCAAACAGATATTTTTTTCTTACCCTTTTAACCTTAAAAATGGAAAATTTCCCAGAAAACTTTATGAGCACTGATACAAGAAGGAAAATGCTTCAGAATTAGCATATTTATATAGACAGAAGGAACTAACTATACCTCTAATTGACTACTGCAGCCTATATGCATCTCTGAGATTGTGATTAAAGCAGTCACTGATAACCACTCAAGACTCCAAGATCAGACTGAACCAAGATCAGCTCTTCCAGACTAACAATTCATGTCAACATCTTTTTCTTCAACACATCTGATTTCCTGAGCTCATTACTGAACCTTGGTATAGATAACCTGCACTGTTTCTCTAACACAGATGTAGAGACCTAGCACCAAAGAACTGGCTTAAATCACTTTAACTGGAGCATGTCCACCGTGGAGAAATCTCTGGGCGATACGAATACTCTGGCAAAATGAATATGAATCACTGCACTGCATCAGCCATGTAAAGTGGAGAGAGAAAGCAGAGATGGAAAGAGAGCATGCCTAAAGCCCACTGACTTCTTTTGGTCTTTATACAACAGTCACATGAGAGCCACCACACCCACAGCATCTGTCTGAACCCTCTGTGCAGTTCTGGGTTAACCCAAAATGCAATGTAACATAAACCCAGACATCAGAAGATGAACACAACTCCAGACAGTAAGAATGTGAAACAGTAGCAAGAGTTGTACCCTATGCATACAATCAGTCTTTAAACCCCATTTCTAAATCATCTCATCTTCTGAAGCAAAGAATCCAGTATAATTTACTAACACATTAATGAGGACGGCATCAAGTATGTTTGAATCAAAAAAACGCCTGTTTTCAGTCCAGCCTTCAAAACACACTGATAAATTCAAATAAACATGAAATGAAAAAGAACTGTTTCCACAGCTACTTACTTTTGCTGCTCCTATTTGCTCTTTACGAAACTTCTCCAGCGGTGCTATTAGCACATCATTAGCATTCTGGATCTGCAAAGTTAAACATAAAGCGTATCTTTTTAATACAGAGTATTTGCAGATAGTGAACTCAGTAACTCTGCCCATGTGCAAGGCTGAAAAATTCGTGTACATAACATCCTGGTAAGAGCATATGTGTAGGAGCCAAGTATGTCTTCTTTACATAAAACATACAACACACATGTTCACTAGTCTATTATGGAGTATTTTCATTAATAACTAAAGCAATTGTAATGAATGATGTAGTATGTTTATCTGCAATATACAGAAGGGTTTTCTGGTATTTTACCCCCATTTCTTTCATCTTGCCTAAAACCAGAATTGAAAACGGAGATTTCCAGGAACATGTTTTGGCAGAACAGAGAAGACAAACATAGTACTGACCGCACTGCCTAAAAAACCCTGTGTTTACAGACTCTGAATCTTTGACAGCTGAATCTTTTCAGCTATCTCTCTGGATTATATACCTAGTTACACTGAACAGAGGAGACTAAGGCAGAGAACTCTAAAAAGAAAATTCTCTGAATTGGATTCCTTCACTTTTCTAGTTTTTAAACTAATTTAAGATGTCCTGCAGCTATTTTTATCACTTTAACCTAAACCAGGGTTCCTAATGATTCACAGTTTTCCCCTCATTACCTCTTGTTTATTTAGTATAAATCCAGTCCTGGGAACCCCTCTATGAAGACCATTCCCAGCAGCGACCACCCTTGTCATATGGGCTAGAAACACACATGTAGCGGAATACAAATGCCAGCCATGCCACTGGGCCTCTCACCAAAAAAAGGTAGCGTGATTTCACCAAGTGCCTTTTAGGGACATGAAGAATAACCAACTAAATCGACTTTACTGCAGAAAAATCAGAAGAAACTAAAAACTGCTAACACATCAGAAATAAAGCATAATAAAACACATTGTAATATTCTATTATACTAACTACAGGCAAAATCTTAAGTTTTCTGCATGAATGGCTTTTTTTTCTCCTCACCAGTCCAGTCTTTACCATACTCATCACATTCCACATTTGGGCTTTGGCAGATTTGGAGGTCTGGGCAAAGCTAACATGTACCTAAGCCAAATGTGAATGAATACAGCTCTTGTGACTCTCCCTTAACAATAAATGGTAAGTTACATTGTTGGCCGAGCACGAAAACTTCCCAAAAGGATGCAATAATAAATACATAGAATATATCCACTTAAACAAACACATTTTACTTCCTCCCAAACTTAACATCACAATTCGAAACATCACAGAATCACCACATCTCTCACTAGGGCAAAGTTTCAGCAAAAGTTGAGACTCTCTCTGACATCCTAATGTAACAAAGTCCAAGACAGAAAAGACAACACTTGGCGTGCTCGATGATGAAGTGATCAAAATGTGCTACATTTAAAAATAAAAATCAGGCACAGAGGATGAGGAGGAGTGTTCTCACTGCATTCACTGTGCTTTCACTGCTTAAGCATTGTTCCATCAGTTTGACTGGAACACACTACAAAGCAACATTATTCTCCAAGTGGACATTTCCCCAAAATATCATAGAACCATAGAATACCAGGTTGGAAGGGACCTCAAGGATCATCTGGTCCAACCTTTCTTGGCAAAATCACCGTCTACACCAGATGGCTTTGTACCCTGTCCAGCTGAATCTTAAAAGTGTCCAAAGTTGGGGAATCCACCACTTCTCTGGGAAGATTATTCTAATCATGAATTGTTCTCACTGTGAAAAATTTTCCTTCTGTCCTATTGGAATCTCCTCAGGAGTAACTTGTACCCATTACCCCTTCTCTTTTCCACGTGACTTTCTGTAAACAGGGAGTCTCCATCTTCTTTGTAGCCGCCCTTTAAATACTGCGACATGGTGATAAGGTCTCCCCTACCCCTTCTCTTTTCCAAGCTGAACAAACCTAATTCTCTCAGCCTTTCCTCGTATTACAGGTTTCCCAGTCCCTCGATCATCTTTGTGGCCCTCCTCTGGACCCTCTCCAACCTTCCTGCATCTTTTTTTTTACAGCAGGGACCAAAACTGAACACATTATTGTAGGTGTGACCTGACAAGCTCTGAGCAGAGTGGGATACTGACTTCTTTCTCTCTGCTGGTGATGCCCTTGATGCAGCCCAGCATCCTGTTGGCTTTCTTCACTCCTGCAGCACACTGTTCACTCATACTGAGCTTGTTGTCCACCAGGCCCCCCAGGCCCCTTTCCACAGAGCTGCTCCCCAGCTGGGTAGATCCCAGCCTGTGCTGCACTCCTGGATTATGTTTTCCCAGGTGCAAGACCTTACACTTGTCCTTGCTGAACTTGATGAAGTTCTTGTTAGCCCACTCTTCCAGCCTGTTCAGGTCTTCCCACAGGGTGACTCTCCCTTCTGAATTGTCCACTTCCCCACTCAGTTTGGTATTGTCAGCAAATTTCATCAAGGTCCCACCACGCAGATCACTTATGAAAATATTAAACCGCATTGAGCCCAATATTGCTTGCTGGAGGATCCCACTTGTGGCAGGTTGCCAGTTTGAACAAGAGCTATTTACCACCACCCTCTGGGTAGGGCCTGTCTGCAAGTTTCAAACCCACCGCACAGACCACTTGTCTAGACCGTAACACATCGGTTTCTCTAGGAGGAGGCTGTAGGTAACTATTAAAAGCCTTGAAGAAATCCAGGTAGACAATGTCCACTGCTCAATCCGCAACAACTGAGCAGGTTACTTTTGTTACAGAAGGTGATCAGGTTTGTCAAGCATAATTTTCCTTTAGTGAATCCATGCTGGCTTTTCCTACCACATGCTTCACTTGACTTGTCTTAGGCCCCAGGAGGGTTTGTTTCGTAACTTTCCCAGGGACTGAAGTAAGACTGATGGGGCTGTAATTTCCTGGATCCTCCTATAAGTGCTTCTTGTAGATGGGGTGTCATTCTTCCAGTCTTCTGAGACATTCCCCATCCTCCACGACTTCTCAAAGATTATGGAGAGAAGCCTCACAACAACATCAGCCTGCTCTCCAAACACCCGCGGGTGGATAACATCAGGGGCCATCGATTTGTAGGGGTCAAGCTCCTGTAACAGTTCACATACCAACTCTTCCTTCACTGACAATGGGTCTGTCTGCACTGACCTGGATTTTTGTTCCCAGGGCCTGGGGCCCACTAGTGCTGGTAAAGACATAGGTGAAGAAAGTGTTGAGAATCTCTGACTTTTCACTTTTGTTGGTAACTAATTCAGCTCTCTTGTTTAACAGCCAGGACAATATTTTCCTTCTGTTTCTGATTGTTGTTTACATACCTGAAGAACTCTTTCTTGTAGTTTTTGACATCTCTGGCCAATTTCAATTTAAGCTGAGCTTTTGCTTTTCTAACTGTATCTCTGCAAACCCTGGCAGTGCCCTTATAGTTCTCTTTTCCATCTCTGTTATGCTTCTCTTTTGGTTTTGGCAAACTCAAAAGTTTGCAGTTAAGCCAAAGGGGTCCTCTTGCTCTGCCTTACTTTCAGGCAACATCTAGCAATCTGAGACTCAGCACTTTCTCCAAGGCACTTAACAAAACATAATCACTATCCAAAGGGTTTCTAAGTAAGGCAGATCAAAATTAACAGGGGGGCAAAACTGTTGGATGACTTGCCCACAATCAGGCAGAATTGCAGTGCATACACCCAGAAGCAGCAGTTGGAAGTTTTGATAGCTTATAGAGCATATACATGGCTGCTGGCACATACAGAAATCACAAAGGCTTCCTGGAGTCACTGATACAGAAGTGTGGACACATCTCTTCCTTCTTTTTCACATACAAAAGTTTTTTCTTTGCATTTAAGATTTATTGTTATATACAGCAACAATATATTAAATACCTCACAGTTCATTTAAGAGACATTTGTATTATTGAAGTAGTTACTACTGATATCATCAATCACTGCTAGTCCTTTTGCTAGTCATTGCCAGTCTAACTCCATGTGGAGCTGAATATGGCTCTTCACTCAATGCTATCATGTTTAGGCAGCCTCCGTGCCACACCAGGAGACCTCACTTCATATATTGACAGACTTAAAGTGACTGAAACACAACTACTGCCTGTCTCACTCAACGCAGCTGCAAGGCAAATTAAATATCCTGGAAAAAAGAATCCTGCTTCAAACACCGTGGAAGAACATATTCACAGGAAACATACAGCACTGAGAGAAGTCATGTGGGAATTAACTGGCTTTGCAGGGCTGAAGCATGATGTTATTCACTCCCATACTTATATAACTAGGAATGGACAGTAGGCATTGCAAGGCTAATTAAAAGATGTCACACACTTCAGACAGGGTCTGGGCCTCTGAACAAATCTGTTGAGCCACATCAACAGAACATTTTGCAAGCTCATCCCTGGGTTGAAAGCTTCTATTGATGAAAGCCCTGATATAGCAATTCACTTCCCAGCAAAATCAGGATCTGGGCAAGTAACTGGCTTTGGCTTTGGGGAAGGAGAACACACCAGCAAAGTACCAGAGAATCCTGGCAGACGCATTTCAACAACCAGTATTGCAAGACGCAGAATGCTCCACTGTGAAAACACTTCCATTGACTCCTGTCAGGTTGTGCCTAGCTTTTGGAAACAGAAAATCATATAGAAAGAATTATTTTTGCCTTATTATGCATTTATTAATTTCCTTTCATTGCCAATTCCTGTCACTGCAATTACTTTACATTACAGTTTCCCTGTTAATGGTTATAAATTGGCATTCAGCCCCCCCACCCCCAAGTAGGAATCTAATCTTCCCACAACCATTTCCATAGAAATTTGATTGCTTTAGATAATCTGAAATTTTCACTGTGTGGTCCTAATAAAGTAACTTTCTTCCTGCCAAAAGATAATCAGTCTTCTACTCAGTTACTCTGCTAGGATGAAATCACAGACACTTGGAAAAGGCAAACAATGTCAAAAAGACTGTAACACTTTCTGTAAATAGCAACTTCAGAAATCCGTGTTGTGTTTAAAATACAGATCTTATCCTTAAAAGCTTATTCAGATTAGTCAC